CTTTAGAACCAATTGTTGACTTGTGAATGTCGGGGAGATCTTTACGGCCACCCACCTTTATCATTTGCTACACCGATTCAGTGCTTTGCGCATTGTAAACACTTTGTGGGAGTCAGTTACTGGCATAGTTGTGGTACTTAGAATGCCTCAAGTTGTATCAGAACAGTAATCGTGCTTTGTTCACGACCTCTCTTAGTAAATCCTTTCTTTAATGACATCTCTTATCAATCGCTACGTGACCGTTTCACTGTTGCCCTCGATACCGACGCATCAGTCAATGAAGCATAGCTGACAAAGGTTTATAACAACAGTATCACGCAGGTCGCTGCCCACTGACTGCAATACACACCGGCGCACAATTGTCATGCCGGATCAACCAGAGGGTAACGCTAGAAGGTCAAAGATTCTGATTCAGATAAGACTGGAACGATAGGAAAATCCTTTGAGTGCTCTTTCTTGAGCGGACCCTTGAGCCAGGAAATAATAAGTTCTCGATTGATCTAAAAGGAAACACCCGAACCACACCCTGGTCAAATAATAACTACCCACGTTCCTTCACTAACAGTCCCCGCTGTGTAGGTCACGTGAAGTAACGAAGACCTAGAAAGAAAATGGAAAATGATAAGGAAAGATGGTTAACACCAAAGAATGAGGAGAATGACAGAATATGAACTCAACGTTGGAAGATGAATATGATCAGTAGAAGGGAAGGGTTTCGTGTTGCCATGCAAGAGCGTCTAATTGGCTCTGGAAACCTCTAACCGTTCACTGAGAAACCCTCCTGGAAGCGCGTTTCAGCGCTCGATAACTCTACGCAATAACCGAGTTTCCGCCCTGAAAACAACTTTTGTAGCTTCATGGGATGACCACGAAGACAAGGCAACCTAGACGGGGCTAGATAGCCAGCTAAAGTCCGGTCCAAACTTCCCTGTTAAAATACGGCAAGTAAGGATTAAATCCCCTCGAAGCCGTCAGTAGTGCATTGAATATATACCCAAGCTAAGTGGACGCTCAGGGTACATTTGCCTCCCTAACCCCTCGACCAATTTTGTACCTACAATCAAAACTGTTATGGGGACCCGACATCCCCATAGTGATCATAAGCTTATACCACAGGAGGCAACGAGACCCGATTCAGATAAGTGCACATGTTTCGATCAACCTTCCAACTCGTGAAACATTCCAGTTTCCATTGGCCTTTGTATCTCAGAAAACATTCCTGTTTCCGGCCAACCTCCCTTCAATCATAAAACATTCAGCTATTTTTTAACTAAGAAACATCCAGTTTTCCAGTCCAGCCTCCGTATCTACCAACCTTCACTTTTAAACATGTTCCGTCGGCATATTTGCATAGTACCAATGCAGTTGCTTCCAGGGTTTGCTTACGCAAACCATTGGCGCCATCGAGGTATAAAAGAGACGCTGGACTGCGTTGTAATCGCCTTGAGCATGGCCGGTAAAAGTGCCTACGCGAAAGGCCTGTCTTTTGTCTTGTTCTATCGAGTTTGGGGGGCTGCGTGTGAAATTGCCTTCGGTCTAGGAACTCGTTCAACTCGCGCGTAGTACTCGTGTTGCGCCTAAGTCGCACGGATTGTGAAACTTCGAATTGTGTCGGTTACGTCGTCGTGCGTGAAATAGTTCCAGGCCTCATTCGTTCTGTTGACTAGGAGAATTGATACCAAATAGTCAGGGCGTGACTTTATAACAAAAACTGTCTCGAGCCCATTTTATCCCGAACAGGGCAGGGTGGGAAAGTCTTGACGCAGTATCTCAGGTGGGGCCGAACGAAATCAGAGAACAGCTTCACATATAAGTCGGCATTTAAGACCCGGAAAGAACGGCGTATTAACCACAGCATTCTGAAACCCTTATTTGCGACCTTCTTCCAATTGTCACCAGAATGCAAAGACGAGGAGTGGACGACGCCTAGGTCTGCCTACTTGGAGACAAGGGGGACATGGACCCACCAAGCACGTACTTTGAAGTCTGGAAAGTTGCTCCTATACCAAAGACGGAACACTTAGTATGATTACGGGGCAGTAGCCACAAAGTAGACCAGTCCCAGAGTCTGTCTAGGGCATGCCTTATGGCCTCAGAACCCACAGGGATTTTTACAAACTTCCAAATATTTAGGTCATCAGCAAATACTAACGATGATATCCCAAGCTCTCCAGGAAGATCGTTAACATAGATGGAGAGCAGCATCGGTCCAAGGACCGAGCACTATGTGACACCGCTAAGAATCGCTTGCCTAAAGGACAAGCTGCGACCCAGACGTACACACTGCACTCTTCCTTGCGATAATACAGATACCCAGTGAAGGGTGCGGCCAGATACGCCGTAAGAGCTCAGCTTGTGTGATAGCCTCAAGTGGGGTACCTTATCAGATGCTTTCGAGAAGTCGACGAAAAGCACATCCACTACGTGGCCATTGTCCACTGCTTCGGTCCAGGCTTAACAAGCAACCAACAAATTAGACAGACACGAAAACCCCTTCTGGAATCCCAGGTGTACATTACTGTGTAGATTAAATCTATTCAGGTGAACTTCTACCGAATCTCTCACCAGCTTTTCAAGCAGTTCGACCACGACGCTAGTCAGACTGATTGGCCTATAGTTGGCCAACAGTCTCGTGTCTCCATTTTTGTGGATAGAACAGATGACAGTCTTCTTTCATTCAGAAGCTAATGTACAGCTGTCAAGTGACTTTTGAAACACCTTCGTCAGCGGTCCACTTACTTCCGCCGCCAACTCATGCAGGAGCTTCGGGGGAATTGTATCAGGTCCAGCTCCTTTAGAAGGGTTCAGTTCTTGCAGCAACCTAAGGACTTGCGTTTATCTCACAGTAAACCCAGCTAAATAAGATGCCTCAGGGACACTGGCGACAAGTTTAACGCTAGTCAACGCAGCCTCACGTACAAAATCCCCTGCATACTGCTCACAAACTATACGAGCCTTGTCCGAGTCCTCATACGTATGCTTTCCATAGGCCCGCATCAAAGGTGAAATTAACGAATTTGAACCACAGCGCCTCTTAACATAAGCGAAGAACGTCTTCGGATTTTTCGAAGCTCCATCAGCCAATCCCTTTTCTTACAACAGCCGAGCTTTCCTCAAGTGTTGTTTACATCTATTTCCAGCCTCGCGATCCCTATCATAGGTGATAGCTGATGGACCCGCACGGTAGATCCTCCAGCAGCAAGAATGCTTCTGGAGCACGTACTTGTCAGCGGTATCTATCCATGTGGGCCGGGCTCTTGTCACTTTTCCCCTCACAAGCGGGATCTAGGGAGCAGACACTACCGTGAGGTAAGATTTTAATTTACCACAGGCCGCTTGAACCGTATCGGCCACCGAGCTTTCGCAACTCGATCCAAAAGCCTTGATACGCATTGCCTGATAGCTAGCACGCTATATGATTGGATATGACTCAGCGATGCTCTGGTGACGTCTGGTCAGAGCACAGCTGAATGATAAACAGACATGATCACTGGCACCTAAGGGAGAGCTGTAAGTGATGTCACCTACGAAGTCTAGTGACTTGGCAAAAACTAGGTCCAAAATAGACGGTACTTGGGCATCCAAGTACCTAGGGGGGGGGGGGGTTCACGAACTGCTGCAACGGTACTTGTAAAGTAAGCTCAAGAAGTTCTGCACCGAAAGTACCTTCAGCCGAGTTGCAAGAAAGATCTGTCCAGCAAACTTCCGGTACATTGAAGTCGCCCAATATCAAACATCTGTTTGCGGATTGGGAGCGAATGAAGTTAACCACCACTTTGGACGCACTCCCAGGGCTCATCTATACCATTACAACTGTAAGTTGTACCGAGGAATATCTAAGCACTACCGACCGAGCTTCGACATTTTTATCCGCCGACTGATACATGTAGTTACGCAAAACGTAAATGTAAAGCTCAACGCCTCCGCCTTGTCGAGCAACGAAGCGATCACAGCTAACTAATGCGTAACCAGGCATATGTGCTTCACCTTCGGCGACGTCCTGAGACAGCCACGTTTCAGTGAATGCGAGTATATCGGGATGAGACCCATCCACAAGCAAACCTTTCTCGCCCACCTTATACCTTAGGCTACGCATACCGCTTGGCCCTAGCTGAAGATATTCGGGATGTCCAGCTTTGGGTAGTGCGCTACCAGGACTGGCACTGGTAGGGCGGGAAAGGACCGCCGGTTGACCATCCGAAAACCCACCACCTGGAGACCTAGTTCACCGGCAGCTCGTCTGATTTTGAGGTCTTTGATGACCTAAAAATTGGGTGTTGCCCGACCGGAAACACTGCACTAGTAGTACTATAAATTGATGGATTAGTGAAAACGAAAATGTTCACTGATTCCCGTCACATATTTTTGGGCTGGAGATGCCAAGTGCAATGAAGCGATTTTATTCTGCCCCGCTTACATCAGTGTGCCCACATCCGTCGGTGCTGCTAGTTCCAGCTGGATCTCAGCGTCTAGCGATATGTGAGCAGCCGTCAACCACATTTCTCCCACCCCAGAACATGTAGTCCTCGAACCGTCTGTCTAAACAATGCGTCTGAAAGGTGCGATATGAGAAGTATACCTAAAAGTTGTTGACATGCACGGAAACGGAACTTAATAGTCGGGTTATAAGGGCACGTATTCTATAAGCCTATTGTGCAGGCTCCGGAATTCGCACATTAATAAAATGCTGTAGTAGCTCAACAGTGCAAGTAAGACACCTCATGAAGGACATGCATGAGGAGTTGAAATAATCATTAGGAGCGACTGCTGAGACCGAGGAAACATGCTTCGCCCTCTGAAGGAAATAGCTGGTTTGGACCAGCAATCCAAACGGACACGCACTGTAATTCGCGTTGCATAAATCAACCGCCTGGAGGGAATCCAGGGCCTTTTCAAGACGTTGACCTTGAGAACTGGAACTGCACCAATCATATGAGCCTGCTAAAAATAGTGGAAGGAATCGACCAATCAGCAAGCGAAATCGTTCCATCACTTGGTCGATTGGAGTTACGTGCTTGGCTGACGAACAATGGAGTGGCCGAAGCGCATTCGAATGGCTCTGCTCGGCTGTTCGACGGCCACGGCATGGATGAGTCGTGTGCTCGCACCGATTGCGACCCCCCCCTGCGGAGGTGATTTAATTGCATGTCGCTCCTCCGCACAACCATCTCAGGAATGAGTTACGTCAGCGCTTGCTCAAGATACCAGCCGGGTCAGCATGCGGAAAAACCGCATGGGTGTTTACAGGTAGGAGCCGAGGATGTTTTGGATCGAATTCGTCGAGCGAAGGAGACTATGCTAGATCCCCAACTTGTCCTCGTCGACGTACGCGAGTCAAGGCATTATCATTCAGGACACATATTAACTGCTCGTTCAATGAGTTGTCACACGAAAACTATGGCTAAACGTGCCGTTGCCTGTTGGGATGCGGTTTACACTGATCAGCATTCATGCCCGGCTCCAGCTGATGGACAACAGCCATACTTTTGTACTGAAATTTCTCAGGTTTCTGCACCGTCAGTCGTTGTGTATGACCAACGCGGTGCGTGTCCTTATTGTTCAAACGATTTGGCAATCCAATATTTCATTAGCGCTTTACAACAACGTGGGAACCTCATATATTTCATGAGTGGTAAGTTAGTGTGCTTTGGGTCTCGTTGATTCCATGTAGTGAAGCAGTACGTTTAATTTTCCATATTCGTTGGTCTTCCCAGTCTCCTTTTTGAATCACTGAACTGTTTTAAATTTATCGGCCCAGTAATCCGTACTAGCTAATGATAGGCTTGTTATATCTTATGCACCAGTTGTGCTAGATGGTGTAATCAAGTTTGAGGTTAGTTAATATTCTACGCTACGTCTGTCTGTCTCCCATATGAGCTGAAAGTCGCTAACTGTTCGCATCGTGGTTTTATTGGATGGCTTATCTAGAATAAGTGCTGAACCAAAAATGATGGTATCTATTAGCATACCTTTCTACACAATCACTGCTCTTTCATAGTACTACTGTATTAGTGTGCGACCCAGCAAACACCAGTTTTCCATGAATGACCCCGTTTCACACCACTGTTATCTAGTACGTTACATCAACCAAGGCATTTCTGGTCCACACTTGTAAATTTTGTCGCCCGCAACAGCGAGACGATTAGTCAACGTCTGAGAACCATACTTTCAGGTTTGTTATAAATGGAAGAGCTAATTACATGTCACTGCGCTGACTGAATGCACAGAGGAGATTCAAATTGTTATTATTTTGACAGCGAAGATTCAACCACTTTCACTCGGACAGCCCCTGCTAGGGCGATTGTATCAGCAGTTTCCTCACGATGGAGAAACCGTATCCTTTGCGCCATACCAAGTTTACTAACAGATGCTGCAGTTAGGTGTCGCTAGGGTTGGAGCACTAGTGATACACTGAGTTTATTGAGGAAGCCCAAGCTTTTGTACGAGCTGGTTGTGTTACTGTGTAAACCGACTACATGTCTAGTTGAGAAGTCTTCGTAGCTGCTCCCTACCGGCCGACTGGAGAGGTGATATTATAGCGGAATCGTTCGGTCCGTCGCAACGAGACTGGACCTTAACATGGTGCGACGGTTTGCATACCTCATTGACCCATTGAGCTATACTGGGTGATGCCTCCGAGCATCTTGAGAGCTACTCCTACCAGGTTGGTCAATGGTGAGAGGTCAGACAAACTCAGTCTCCTGGTCCTCCAGGTTGGGGGTTTGAAATGGGATGGCGTCCATTTCTGTAAAACTAAATCACTGCCACTCCGCTGCCTTGCGGACAGGATTTTGAGCCAAAGGCTTTGGATGAGGACCCTAATCGTCCTCCTGTCTAGGTCCGGGCGCCCTGGCAGTATCTCAGCCCACATACAACCATGACATTTTCTTCAAACATAAACTTCATCCTGCATCGGCCGTCGCGCAGATTATCAAGGGTCGCCTTATCTGCTGCATACAGCAGGGCGGATAAGCGAAAACATGCTACTGCTGGCGCCTCCCTTCTTTCTTTTCCACCTTCTCTTACTCCCATCCCGGCCCCCATTACTAACCCTCCTATAATTCCCAGCTTAATTGACAGCAACCGTAGTGCTACTGGAGTAGAACCATCTGCAGCCACCATCCCACAGCACCTATCGGATGCCTATCGGCAAAAGTCCCTTATAAGGCCACGCTGTCCCGTTTCCATGGCGACATTCAACGTCCGCACTCTAAGCCAAACAGGTCAGCGGGCTGCACTGGCACGCACCTTGGGCCCACTGGGTGTTTATGTGTGTTGTGTGTCCGAAACTAGGATCAATGACCCTAACGGGGTTATTGGATTGACTGCACCCGGCTTGTTCTCGTTATTGGTTGTACGCATCCGGAGACGCCGATTCGGCACTCACGGGTCAACCAGGTGAAGATATCATTCTAAGCTCCGAGGCTGAGTCATCATTGGTTGATTGGATTCCGGTGAACAGCCGTTTATGTGCAGCCCGTTTGACGACATCAGCTAAGGTGAATTCGCGAAGTAGTGCAAAACGCTGTTTGTGATTTCCGTTTATGCTCCCACGGACTGTAGTTCTAATGCAGTCAAGGACACATTCTATCACGAACTGAAGGCCCTACAACGCAGTGCTACTAGTTCAGCTGTTATAGTACTTGCAGGGGATATGAACGCACAAGTAGGGCGTCTGAGCTCTTCAGAAGCTCAGCTGGCTGGTACTTAAGGACTTAACTCTTAACGGACTGACAACGGCGAGCGTCTGCTGCAAGTGTGTGCGGAGCACCAGTTGTTTCTTACTAGCACTGCTTTTAGACACAGTGGGCGCCGAAGTGTCACTTGGCGTCCACCTGTAGCTGGCCAGCGATGGACCCAAATTGACCACATAGCCATAAGTTACAGGTGGCGCGGTTCCATTCTGGATTGCCGCTCGTACTGGAGTACCTGTGTCGAATCTGATCATGCCTTGGTGCGCTGTCGTTTCTCCATGATCTTTACCGGAAGGCGCACAAAGCGTATCCTTCGATTGGCAACGGAGAAATGGTCTCAGCCCTCGGTCAGGCAAGCCTATCATGAAGCATTGCATGCCGAACCGTCGCTGTCTTGTCCTTATGACACTGAACTTCAGTGGCATAGAATCTCGTTTTACCATGCGCGACGCAGCAGCATCTGCTTGTGGCACTGTAGCGCCTTGGCAAATGCTACACAAGAAAACCGTAGCCCAGTAAGACAGAAGACGGCAAGATATAAAGAATGTCTTGAGAAAATAGCTATGTACAATAGCTATGTAAATATAGCTTGAGGACAGTGGAAGAGAGTGGTGAAGCAGAGTTACACCACGTCGAAGCACAAGAGCCGGCAGCGTGCGGGCAAGACGGCGGACCTGGTTCAAAGTCGCAGTCCAGTATATATAGGCTTTGGACGGGTGCAAAGTAAAACAAAATGTGTACAAGTCTGAATGTGATGTTTGATGGAGTAAAATGTCATGGTCACTACACAGGCCTCCCCCTAGAAGGCCGAGGGACGAGGACTTCGATCGTTGCTGGCTTGCAGATGTAAGAAGGCAGAACCATAGGAGTAGGTTAGTATTTATATTATTTATTCTTCTTGTGGATTGGAATGCATCATCGGTGGGCCGTCCCAGCGGGCACACCGGACTACAAAAAAACTGGATAATCCAGAAAAAGGGCCGGTAGGACCTTTCACCGCTGCTGAAGGACGGTGCGCTTGGGAGAGGTCACTCCCTCCACCGCATTCCAATCCACTGCCACAACGAAGCTGAAATCCTGTTCGTACTGGCGAGCCGTGGGGGGACCAAAAACAACGAGCCAGGCACACGAGCAGCCAAAGCCAGGAAGGCGAGCCAGACAAACGACCAAGGCGAGCCAAATTGAGCCAAGCAGACCACGATCCAAAGGCCAACGTGGGCGGGCGAGACGACAAAGCGTTGGGGGTAGACCAAAGCATCCAAACGACCAAACAATTGAGAAACAGCCAACCATTGAACGGACGGACCCAAACGTGCCAGCCTCATGACTTTACCTGATAGATGGGGGGAAAAACTCGGGGAGACAGATTCAGATATTTACGGAAAAGCATAATACAAACAACGAGAGAAAATGAAAAAGATTCATGAGGTGTGGATGAATTCGACAAAATCGGAGAAACGAACAGGTTTACGAACTCTTCTACCGTGACTGGTATTAGTTTGAGGCGAATCTGGTGACTGGGATTGTGGTGGAGCTGAAAAGCTGGGCGTCGTTACAGGTGGCCCTGTAGATTGCGTTAAGGTCGATGATGGAACAAACTGTTGTTCATCGATGAACGCAGGCTTGACGCGATCTATCGAGACAGTATCCCTTTTATCCCCACGGTCAATCACCAAAGTTTTTGAAGACCGTTTAATAACACGGTATGGACCTGTGTAAGGTGCGGAGAGAGGCTGTCTCACTTGGTCGACACGTAAAAATACGTGAGAACATGTAGAAAGGTCTTTCGGAATGTGCACTGGAGTGCGTTGTTCCCTGGGTCTCGCCTGCTTGATCTTACCGAATGCCACAGTAGCTTCTGCTGTTAGCTCAAACTTTCGGGACTTGCCTTTTTAGTAAATCTATCAGAGTCTTAAGTAGCCGAGAACAATCTGGAATGAAACGATAGTAATAGTTGACCATCCCGAGGGAACGACGCAAACTTTTGAAAGACTGATATATCGTGCAATCCGAGACTGTATGCGTCATTTCAGAAAGTGGGCTAACACCACTGTGGTTGATCCGGTGACCGAGAATTTCGACACAGGATTGGCCGAAAATACATTTGTCCACGTTAATCGTCACGCCATACTGAGTAAAACGCTCGCAGATTAGACGGAGAGGCGACAGGTGTTCTTATCTATCGAAGTGGCACGAGAATGTAATTGATGTAGGCGAAGACGAACTCTAGCCATCGAATGATTGATAAATGAACCGCTGAAAATTTTTTTTACCGTTTGGCAATCCGAAGTCCTTACGGACAGCTTCATAGAGACCGAGAAGGTAGTAATGGCGGTATTTGGAATATCGACAAGAGGGACAGGAATATGATGGTATGCAGGAACTAGGTAGATTGTAGAGGAAACAGACTTTCTGTACAAATTTTTGGAAAAATCCTGGAGATGAGGAATTTGGTATCCATCGGGAAGAGTGACACTGTTAGGCGCAATGTAGTCGCCACATGGTCTCCAATCGCTGGTCTTCTTGGGCACTAAATGAAGCGGAGATGCCCAGCAGCTTTTGGAAGGGCGGTTGATCCCGAAGTTGATCATGTGTTCGAACACTCTTGGCCGCTTGTAGTTTGTCCGGTGGAAGGCGTCTTGGCTTGGCAGACACAGGAGGACCGGTTGTGACGATATCGCGACAGATGTCGTGCTTGGGCTCGAGTGCATTCATCTGCTTTAACCAGGGAGGGAAAATGTTGCAGTAATGACGAGTAGCGTGACTCTTTAGGCATAAGTACTGGAAGCTTAATGGAATTGACGGTAGCGAGCTAGCCGAAAACAGTTAACGACCTAGTACCATCACGTAGCTTGCCACATCGCAGCTCTACGACCAGGCCGAATTCGGTGAGAAACTCAGTACCATTGATGGGCTTCTGTACCTCGGCAATTAGGAAGATGAAGGTGGAATCACGTCGTAAACCAAGTGTCAACAGTCTGGCCATACGTCGCGATCTTGGTTTGGTTAGCTGCCTGTAAGGTAATTCCGGATGGTCGTGGAGCACCTTTTTCCAAGGATCGAGGTACAACGCTTACCTCTGCGCCAGTATCAACCAAAAAGTGGTTTGGTGATGGAATCGAAAACGTACAAGAGGCGACTGATGGTTTTCCAGCAGCAGCTGTCGCCATCACTGGCTGGCGTTGTCGTTTTCCTGCCGAGAATCCAAAAAATCTCTTCGGGTATTTACAAACTGGATGACAATTGCGAGCAGCATCGCCGAAACGGCGGTGGTAGTAGCAGTATGATCGCGCTCGGCTGGTGCGGAATTGACAACGTCGCCTATTCCTTGAGTTGAATCTACGGTTAGCAGATCGTTCACGAGATCGTTCAGCGAGTTCTAACCGAGAGAGCCGTTCACTAATAGCGTCAAGTGCGGTACTTCCAGGTGGACTAGTGGTGCTCAGTCTAGTCACATTATTCACAGCAGATTTAAAGAACCTTTTGTGGACTTTGTCGGCCGCTTCGGCTAATTTGTCCAACTGGAGTTCATCAGCGAGGACTGCTGTAATCGCCGTGGTGTTTGCTGGAAGACAGTGCAGATCTGTCGGAATATGGAATCATCCAGGGTCGAGGAACCCACATGTAAACCCATGTGCCGGAGGAGTTGAGACGTGCTGCGGTCTTTAAGCTCTATGCCTGAAAACAGCATGTGTAGGCGTGCTTCATCGGAAGTCGTAGTGCGTTTTAGAACGGCTGATTTGAACCTGTCATACGGCGATTCAGTCGGCATCGGATCAAGAATATCGATCACCTCCGAGGCTATCTGTGAAAGAAGATGAGCGGTGACCTATGAAAAGATCGATCGGAAGATGGCGTCCACCTGAATAAACCAACCACGAGGGTTTGAAACATCAAAGGTGGATAACAAAAAACCAATGGAGTTTTCACACGGTTCACGGGGGTAGCGTAGTCAGACATAAGGAAAGAAGAAAAAGAAAGAAAAGTAATCAAAAAACAATTAAATAGACGGGGTCACCAAATATAGTGTCTGACAGTTATAACCGCTGAAGGTTTACGGCGAATAAGACCTTAGCACGATTGCTCACGGTCAGGTTACAATAAGTAAACATCATCAAACCTGTCCGATGGCACGAACGGAGAAATCGAACGCTGATCCGTAACTAGAGATCCGACGACCGATGCGAAGCACAAACACAACACTCGAAGGCGGCACAGCGTCAACGAGACCAGAAGAGGAACCAAATCCGAAGGTGCGAATATATCTTGTTGTGTGTTAAAACAAGAGTCCAAAAGACGGAAAATAGAGTGGGAAGTTAGAATGAAAAATGTGAAAAATTTATAAACACTACAGACTTGACGCCCTTTGGATTGCAGTTTCAGACCTTTCTGTTTGATTCTTGACTTCAACGTCCATTTCCTTGGCTTTTCACCTCTATTACTATTCTTGTCTTATTCACACATTCTCCTGTACTACAATTATTATTATTCTGTTTTTGCTGATTCCCTTTGCCTTTATTCTTATTCACGTGGCCGGTACAGCGGGGACTGCTAGTGCAGGTCGCGTGGGCATTGTTTGGTTGACTGTGATGTGATTTCTGCGTATTGATTTGGATCTCTTCGATTTCAAATCGATCGCGCGAACTCTATCCTGGTTCAGCTACACATTAAAGAAGGAACGCCCATGGGAATTTCCTACCGTTCCTGTCCAAATTGAACTTGAACTTGAAACCCATAGCGCCTTCACAATTCTCCAACTCACTTTTGGTATTATGATTTGCTTGTTCCAAACTGTGCCTAAGGAAGTTGCTCTTATCTTGGCTTGTTTGAAGTTGATTGAGTAGACACATCATTCGCACCGTTTCAACTTCGAACCGCCTTCACCAACATCCTCGTTGCTGTCCGATCGAGCAGGATTGCTTAACTCTCCTAGTTCTTTGGTATCGCTTCAGTCCTCACTAGGGTCCCGTGTCAGGCCGTCGAATGTACTATCCTGCACCTTTGGCCGGTGGCCTAAGAGATGAGGCGCCTACCTTGTAACATAGATAACCCGATCTAACCTGTGTAGAAATGAGTAACCTCGCAATATCCTAATTCCATGCGCCACTGGATGTGGTAGCTTGGCAGCGAAACGTCAGTGCTGTATGCCGCCATACTACTGATGCCTGTAATCATTATTCATCCTGTAGCACTTGCCAACACCCTCCATCTTAACCGCCACTTCCATTCACCACGTTGATTCGGTCCTCGCGCTGTATATCTGCTCTTATCACGACTCAGACCATACTGACATATATATTATCTTTTTAATCTATGCACCGTGCGAATGGCGCACGTCCTTACATTCCCGGTAACTAGATCACTTACTCGGAATCTCACCTGGATTACTCGTTCACCACTGAGTTTACCGAGCACACCGCAACTTACTGTTAGGTGGTCGAATCTCTTTAGCAGACGAGTTTAAGGAAACAAAAGCCGGTCCGAGTTCGACCCTTGCACGTCACGAAGTAGTCCTACGAAACAGTTTTCCGTCTATCCTGAAGTGCCCGAATTATGTGTGGGTTTCTTCGGCCTCCATTTGCTTGTTTGAGGCATAAAGTAGCTATTTCGACGAACAATCAATTTCAGCGAATCCTTGACAGTGAAGCGCCGTCCGATCGGGAGTCTGGTCGAATTACTCGGTTTATGAATAGCAGAGGCCCGGTATATTCCTTAACCAACTGCAATGCAGCCTCCTAAGTATCAATTTTATAGACGTGTCAAAGGGTGCGTGCATGATGATGCTTGCCGGCGGCATGAATTCTCAGCTACGTCGCTTCCTGGACTGCCAACCGCATAGGAGGATGTCTCGACATCTATTTCTGCTTGCTGTGATGACTAGGCTTTTTCTACTACATATCGACCTGCCGGTGGCCGATTGCTTCAAGCATCTGGCTTCTAATCAACTGGTCACCGGTTCGAGGCCCTGTTGGTGTTAGCGCCCTCACAGTATGTCTATCCTGCGACGGACTTGGTGATTACTTGACATCTGTCATCACGCAGTACTGGACTGTTTCCTATACCTATGTTGGTTATCACAAGTTATCACCGCTTAACCTGTCGCCCACCGTATTTCAAGAGTCCGTCTTGCTTTCTCCAAGCTGAAGCACTTGTGGCGCCGCCATGACATCCGTCCATCCGTCAAAGGGCAGGTTTATTGTGCGACTGTCCGCGCCGTACTGTTGTACGGTTAGAGACTTGGCTTGTTCGTACCATTGACCTGCACCGTCTCTGTCTTTGAGCACCGGAAACCGCGGGTGACCCTTCGATCTACGTGAGGACTGTCCGTCGCGGGCCAGCCTTCTGCGAGACCAGGTAGTGAAACCTGATGCAGCTGCTGGGAGAGAACCAGGCGATCGGACCCTAGCGGACTCCCACCCGTGTCCTCCCTAACGGTGCCAAAAACACAAAATGGGGGAAGTTCGTAAGCGTCAAATGTTCGCGAGTTCGTGAAGGTCAAATGTTCGCTTCAGACTCGGCATCTCCTCCGGTTCATACATGGAAGATAAACGGAAACAAGGGTAGTGACGGTGAAGGCGAGGGCAAAAATATGAGTGGCACTTACCGGATGAGGTAGGCGTCAAGCAAAACGTAACTCCTTTCATGTGTTTTCAAAACGTTTTCTTCTTTTTTTGTTTTCAAAACGTTTTGCGTTTTTTGGGTTTTCAAAAAGTTTTGTTGCTTTTTTTAGCGTT